GTTTGATACAGAGCTAAATGTACTGAGAAAATATCTGCATGCTTGAGCTTGATATTTGCAAAATGAAAGCATTAGCTTTCTCAGGCGTATACCACAAAGATATTGTTGGTAACATTTTTTTTAAGACAATGAAATGGTACTTGAAATATTAAAACAACATTACAGAAGAGGAAAATACAGAAGAATATAATTTTTGCAATTTTCTTCCTGGCCAGTTTTATTCCTAGCTTGGAAGGGAAAACTATAAATGAAAAGGTAGCAATGAAAATAAAAGAAACAGGCTGAAAAATAAAGGTGACTTTCAGGGAAAGAAGTAAGCTTCCGAGAGGATAAATCAAGTTGACTGACCCTAATCTCTAAACCTCATCCTGGTGGACAGGCAAGAAGGATAAGGCTACTTGTACTTTTCACAGAAGCCCATTGATTTGGGAATGGCAGCTGCTACAGGATTCATGTTAAGAGCTCAAAGGTTGAGCCTGGTTGAGTCGGGCTGTAGGAAACAATCCCAATATGAGTATTTTCTGTTGATCATTATTAAAAGGAACTGACCAATGAACAATGGGTAAATGCTGAAAAAAAATGCTTCATTTTTATTAATCTAAAGGGACAGTAAAGAATCACTACTGAAAAAGTAGAAACAAATAAGAGAAGTTTCACAATATACAACAAAATTAATCGGGAAAGCAATCAAAAGCAAATTTAAGTTTTTAGAAATTAACCTGTTTTCAGAATAGTCCAGGGCTTCACAAATTCAGTCTTTAGTATATACACTATGTAAGTAACCCCTTGAAAACCAGGTCTGTCCATTCTGCATGTCCAGCTGGCCATTATTAACAAGTTAATGAACATTAATAAGAAACACAACATCATTTCAAAAGAAGAAAATTAAGTTCCCTCACTGGATAAATGTGTATTGTGGATCTCGCTTGAAATAATTGTGCCCTTTTAAATTCTATAGCCTTTCTTCCCAGGATGGTCAAAGTTTCACTTTGGCAGAAAACACTTAAAGGCAATGTAAATTCAGCAGCTGTGATGATTTCACCAACCAGGAAAATTGCATTTTGTAAGTTTCACCTGGTGATAAAGGTTTAGACTGTCTATTCTGCATTTAGTAAAGCAGATAAAGTATTTTATCATTAATTTAAGTAGAGACCATTCAAGACGACTATAGACAAACAACTGATGACTCAACCTTCCACTAAGTCAACCATAGAAAGTACTGTGAAGCAGAATGCAGGCATTAGATTTATCAGAAAGACATAATATGACAAACCAGATGATCGTAATCTGGGCGACCTTTTGTTGAGCATACACCATGTACCAAGAGCTTTTATCTATAACTTCTGAGCTCACAATAAGCCTACACATTAGATCCTCCACTTTAGAACCAAGGAAATAGAGATTCAGTGACTTGAAATAACTTGCTCTAGGTTCACACAGAAAATAAGTGCATAAAGTGGAATTTTAACTGAGGACTGCCAGATACCATTCCCAGTGTACTTTCTATTCTGCCTGTACAAACCCAGAAACAGCTTAAAACAGGCAAGGCAAAATATGCCTTCACAGAGATAAGGACAAGGAGAAAAATACATAGTAAGTAGTGATTTAGAAGTGATTTAGAATTGCTTCATTTCCTTCTGTGTGTATATATGTACATATATATATATATCTACGTGTGTGTGTATATATATACATTATATATATACACACACATAGATATAAAATGTTACTTTAGTCCTGGAGTGCCTATATATAGGGCTAAAATAAAACTAGTGGTCAAGATACATAGATTAGTTAGAAACATGGGAGACAGGCCTGCTGCTCTCAGAATCCAAACTTTTTGGGAGTCAGTTGTGTTTCAGAATTAAGAAATTTTTGTACATTAGAAAACTAATATTATGAATGTATCTATATTACCCATTACCCCTGAGCAGGATCTGAGGAACCAATCAAACATTAATATTTCTGCAGCTAGGAGCAAGGCTATTCACACTAAGCAGGATAAATAAAGACTATAACAAATAGCCTCACGTCAATTCAGAGCTTTCTGTTAGCAGAGCTTTTTTTTTTTTTTGGATTTTGGCATTATAGATAAGGGATTGTGGACTTGTCACTGTGAATGACCAAATTACTTTGGCCAATCGCAATTCATACAAAACACTTCCTTTGAAAGCTCATATTAAACTTCGCACATTATGCTGCAGTATTCAATGTACAAGCACAACCCTTCGCCCTTCCAGAATTTGGCTGACAATGATGTATATACAGAACAGGCAGCGAGATAAGCGGAGAGCCAGGGTGAAAGGCCTCTCCACGGCCATTACCGTGGCCATGCGTGTGATGGAAGGTGCTACATTATTCATAGAAGAGGCCACCATCCCTTTCATCTGATCTGGTTTCTAAACTCAACACAGATAAGAACCAGTAAGCAGAATCACAGAGAGATCCTAGAGGCAGGTACACAAAGCACGCTCCAGCAATAGCTGACATTATCATTCAAAGAAAAAAAATGAAACTATTTTTTAAAAAAGGTAAGAGCCTGATGGGACAGTCTAAAAGGCTTGAATTCCAATCCCGCCTCCACCATTATGAGCTGTGTGATCTTGAGTAATTCCTTAACTTCTCTGTACTTCTGTTTATTCATTGACACAACGTTGATAAAACTGCTGCCTGTCTCCTAAGGCGGTTGTGAAGCTTACATAAAATAATGCATGGGGAGAGCTTAGCCCAGTGCCTGACAATGAGAAGATACCCAGTAACTGTATACACTAAAAATGAAGCACAAAATCTCACAAAGCATGGCAGCCTGAATAAATTTACTACCAATTCTTCAGAACTCAGAGCCTGGAGAGCATCATCATCGTTTAGCATAGAAAAATATGGTACCATCTTGGCTGTGCCCCATGACGTTGAACTTGTCATTTAACTTCTCTAAGGCTGAGAACATTAGTTCAGACCATGTATTCTCAACGGAGGTAGTAAGTGGTTATTTGCAGAGGGAAGGGCATGGGAAAAGTTTACTCTTTTTATGAATAAGCCACAACCAGGCAGTCCAGAAACAGATACACAATATACCATAGTATTAAAATTTCAGTGGGGCAGGAGGTATAAAAAGACTCCTTAGGGAAGGAGCAACTGGTATTGATAAACCCCAGTTTAGATGAACTATAATGTCATTTACATTTCTTAAATTTCCTTAATTCTGTCTTTGCAAAGATAATGCTAAGAATTCCCAAAAAAGTTAAATATAGGTTCACATACTTTAAGAAGGCAAGAATTTATATGTTCCAGAAAGATGTCCATTTAGAACAGTAAAAATTGTAAATATCGTTATGTTTGAAATAGAAAACTCTCTCAGTATACAGAAATCCTAGCTGCCATTCATGAAGAGATCCTGTGAGCCAGTTTGTTCTATTTTCCCTGCTTTATAGATAATAATATATCTAAATTACATATAAATATTAATACAATTACCTATGCTCCCGAAAAATGCAGAAAGAAAATAGAATAAGGACAACCACTTGTAATTACAAAAAATTTGGAAAACTGTGGTTGTCTTAGCTATGATAAATGAAAGATCACCTTGGAATATAATTCATTTTTAATTGCCTCTTCCATCTAATCTAACTACTGCTGTAGGCTGTCTTAAAATATTTACAAAGTAAAAGCAGAAAAAGAATTTGAGGTGCTAAATAAAGCAGGTCACACATTCTTAAATGATTAATTTTTCTGGTATTGGGTTTACAACAAAAACAAAGTCTTAATTCTTACACATGGCATTTTTGGAAACACAAATAGTTTAAGGACTTTCTCTCCTAAGGCTAAAACTGTTTTTAATTCACCTCCTTCCCTGCATTAATTATGGTATCTTTACTATATCTAAATATTCTGTCATTAAAAAGAGAAAAGTTGTAAAATGCTTGAAAGATCTATCTTACAGCCATTCTGCTCTAACCACTTGTGAAGTTTTATATTTACTAGCCCTGTCTTACTCTCTCCAATATCCTAGGTATATTCAAGTTCACATACTGCCCTCATAATTCTCTTCTTTGAGTTTTCAGAAATGCCTTAGAGGTTCTAACTAAAAATAAAACTCTGGAAAAATGTACAAAACTCCTACATGTCAAACTCTTTGTTAAATGCTTGGCCATACTTTATTATCATAAATATATAATCATAAAGGACACTAATATTATCTATTTTATTCACAGCAAAATAAATGTGTTTTGATATCAAATTAGATTTGAGACAGTTGCATTTTAATAGCTAAAGATGTGTGTAATTTGACTTAGACACAGGCATTCCCAATACTACGCATGAAGTAATCACTTTTTTTACTAATGAGGAATATAAATACACAATCTTAAAGAGATGCTAACCACTGTTTACAGTTCCTCAAATTCTAGGTGTTCAAGTGACAGAAAAATCTCTTGTAAACTCACATGCTATTTTAGGCTGTTCCAAATATACTGATTAGACAGAGTAATGGGAAGAAAAGATTACAAATTAGTTGAAACTCTAAATACATACAGATTATTTCAGGGGTGTAGTGTTGGATCCATGAGTGCCTGGTCCTCAACTTGGAATGCCCCAGCCAAATATTAATAGCACACTATTATATTCACAGTTAGGGATAATTTTACCCTAATGCATCTTTAAATAACTATGCTCCTTGCTATCAGAGTACTACAAAATATACTTTAGATAATACCAAGAGGCATAAGACAATCAGAACACATAAAATGATCATTGGCAAGGTTTTAGGCTTATTCAAGGAAAAACTCCATTGTAGAAATTCAAGTAGATGTAATATAAATATACATTCTGCACTAAGAATGATAATACTAACTCAGCACATCACAGTATAAAAATAGAAAGAAAAAAAAAAAAAACCCTGTACTTATAGTGGTCCTCTATTTGGCATGTTTCCATGAGAAAGCCACAGCAATCAAATTCTCAACCTGACAATGCACATTCACTTGCCAAGGCCTTAGACTTACCTTTGTTTTAGATTGATCCATGACGTTTTTAAGTACTCAGTGGTTTCCTTCACATTCCTTGTGTCATCACTGCCATAGTCCTCCAGCAGTTTCTGCAGGACGTTATCAAACGCCATGACAATACCATCACCAGGACCCAGTTCTTGAAGCAATATCTAAGGTGCAAGTTCAGGTGTAATTGTTACAGCTGGTCACTCAATAACTAGTTTTACCAAAACAAAGCTACTTCCAGGAGGTTTCAACATGTTTTAGACACACATATCACAACAGGAAAATTAAGTAGGGGACAAACTCTTACACATAAGCTTAAACCAGAATAATTCTAGAGGTGAGAACGAAGATTGCTAAGAAAGTGATCAGATACATAGAGGATGCTATTAAAAAATCATTATCTTTTTCTCTTTGAGATATTTCACTTCCTCAAACCATTTGTCTTTTTCATTCCTTCTGCAGTACATCTGATCCTTATAAGAACACACATCATACAGGAATGATCACAAAGAGAATTCCTCTGTAAGTACTTGCAGAAATACCAAGGATCAGTAATATGAAAGTCTTCTGTCTCTTGCCCCTGGATCTCTGCCCCTGTTACAGAGTTAACTGCTTGAATGGATCAAGCAGCCAAACAAGGGTACTGAGAGTTTGCTCAAATAGCCAAACTGATGCTGAGTTTGTCCATAGGCATTGGTTCCTTGATACATTTTTTCCAATCTCTGAAAGTCTTGATCCAGATAATTCCCATGAAATCTAAAGGACAACAGAATGTTTCTATGTTTTTTTTGTAGCAACTGAAGGAAAATATTCACCCTAAGGTTTCAGAAGGCAAGAACTGTACTGTTGATTAGAAAAGGGTACTCTGAATTTAATGACAAAACGTTGATATCACTTTTAATTATATTCCTCTAGTTAAGTGTCTGGGGGTTTGTTACTACTTTTGAGTCATTTGGTGATAACAACCAGCAGGTATCACAAACACAGAGAATGATCCAGAAACTAGTACAGCTGGCCACTTGCTTTTTAAACTGTAACCACAGAAAGTCTATGGTTGTGGAGAATAAAAACATATTTTCATGTTTTAGATTTTGTCTCCTACATATTTATTCTCTATTATTTTCTTCACAGATAATACACTTTCATCTTGGCTATCTAAAGGGTAAATAAATGTTACACCAAAATATAACCTTACAACTACAACCTCCAATTCAAGAATATTTTTATGATTGTAGAGAAAATCTAAAATAGCATGTTATAAATACCATAGGTGTTCATTAGTGCCAACTCTCTGACCAAAATGATCACTAAAAAAGTGCTTGTTATTATGATATTGATAAAACAGTTTAGTTATAAACACACTAAAAGAAACTACATTTACTTATTACCTGATTTATTCAGTACAGTAGCCCGCAAATGAAAATCTCAGGAAATTTTACAAATAAAAGTAACTTTCAGGGTAAGCATGAAATGAGGGTTTCTGGGAATCCTGACAGTGTTCTCTTTCTAGAGACTGCTTTAAGGGTGTGCTCCATTTGCAAAACGTCAGTGATCTAGAAGGCTAGCAGACATGCACATTCCGACTTGTTATGCCTCCAGAAAGTTTTCAAAAAAACTTCCTGATCAAATTCTTCATATAAATGTCCATATGTATTCTAAGAACTTGGAAAAACATCCTAACAGGGTTCTAAGAATTACACTTAACAATAGGGAAAAAAGTACATCCAACAAAATGATATTTCCAAAAAGTATCTAATGACTCTTACTTGGTTATCAGAAATTTGTTTGGTAAGTGGATCCCTTCGGGCTTGCTGAAGAATATAGAGTCGAGCCTCATATTTTCTCATAAGCTCTTCGGTCTCTTCCCTGTGGTCATCCCACTGAAGACTGTCGATGATCATGTCCTCTAGCTGCTGCTGCCTTAACTCCACCCCGTGCTGGGTGCTATCCCATTGGTTCTTGACCTTCTCCACTGGGGGAAACATTATAGAAAATAAATCCCAAAAAGTGAGCCTCAGGAAGAAGAAAAAAAATTACCTGATACCAAATTTATCATCATTTTAAATTTGTTATCAAATTTAAACAGAAAAGAGACAGGAGACAAGTTGATAAATACATTTTAAAGGAATTTTAATACACGTCAGCCACACCATACAACTGATATATTTATGAAACCATTCTTGAGAAAAAAGTATTGGATTAAACTCCATTTTAAATGCTCTAAAACATCTTACAATAAAAACATCGACTATTACAAACTGATACAGCAAAAAAAAAAAAAATCATAAAATAATTTTCTATTTAATTTTGTGCTTAATAGAACTTGGTTTGATGAAGGTAAATATTAACACTGTGTTATAACAGAACTGTAACCCCAAGATATGGCCACCTGTTACCCTCAAAGGAGATTCTCTAAGCTAGTCTTCATTTTAAAAGAAAACTGTTTAAGAACACTTTTCACATTTGTTTTATTGTAGCACGAAACCTCTCTAAAAGCAAGTGTTTTTATATGTTCAAGTTCAAGGGAAACACTAAAAGTAAAGTAGACTGAAGATCTATGTACCCAGCAGCTCTTCATCATAACAATTCCATATTGGCTCTTCTCCTTCCTCTTTTTTACTGTGGTTTCTTTCCACTCCTATTTCTCTCACTCTCACTTTCTGTCTCTTGTCTCTGTATATCCTCTCCTCTCCGATCCTTTCTCTAATTTTAACATCGAGTTAAGGAAAGAAAGATCTAAGGAAACTTAAACTTTTGATTAATTACTTCATGGTCAGTTCACAACCTTGAGCTGAAGTACTAGTAAACAGTAACTGTGAATATCTGCAACAACTCATTAATAATAAATAGGCAGAGGCTAAAATCAAACTGCTAGAAGATGCTTTGGATGCCAGGCAGACTGAAGGGCTGAAGGCAGCTAAGTACCAGGTTCAAGAAGTACTTAACTACAAGCTAACATTCCAGCTGAGTAATAATGGAACATTTTGGTAAAATTCTTGGGATAATACATGGTTATAGCAACCATAAAAGCTATCAACCTAAGGTTGTTCAGAAGGTTGTAAGTTATACTTAAGTGTCATAATTCTAAAAAATTGTTCAATGAGATTATCTATTATATGCTGGCTTTTTTAACAGTTTAAATAAATTGCTTAAGTTTTTAACTTAAAGAAAGGACAAATCTATCATAATGTTCTACTTGTCAGTTAAAAAGTTACATAAAGTACTTACGACCAATTTTATTACTAACAGAATCCTTTAACATTGAACATATACATCTAAAGACATCAAGCAAAGTAAATATCACAGGTTTATTATAAAAAATAAGCAAGTTATCTTATTCACTGTAAGTGCTAAAAACAGGTTACTATTGGTAGTACACTCCAGATGAGAAGAGTTTTTCATGTAATGAGTAGTGATGAAGACTATGTAGCTTCTACACAAAAACTCAAGAGAAAACAAAGAAAGGGCATTAAATGGGAAAGGAAAGATATTTAGAAGAAGAAAAGTCTTGTAATTAAAAAAAAAACAAAACAAAACAAAACCTTAAAGGAGTTTTGGACAAACATAGGTGATGGACAAACATCAGATGATAGAAAAAGCACACCGGAAATGGCTTTGTCAGTAGTTGGGTATCACTAAAGTAGAGGTGCTACCCTGCCATTTGCAGGAAAATGGGATTACTCCAGAGTTCCGTTATAGGCACAATCAATCGATCAATTAAAAAAAAGAGGAAGAAAGAAGGAAAATGGCCTATTTAGTAAAAAATAAGCCAACACTGTCAGACACTAAAAGTTCTTTGCTAACTCATATCCTATTGCAATCTTGTTGCTACCATTTTTTTAAATTAAAACATACTTTCGACAAAAGGAACAACTGATTTTCTTCCTTTGAGAAAGATTAGATTTTATTATTCCAATTATATTTTGCTACAAATATTTATTAAGTAGCTAATTTGTGTTGGACACCATGAAAGGCCCAAGGGCTAGGAAGGTGCATATTCACAGTCTATGGAGGGGAGAGAGAATTAAAGTAGCTACAAGATCTATAATGAAGTAATGGGGAAAAAGGACACAGAAGAAACTAAATATAGAAAATACAGTTCCCCAGGCACTAGAAGAGGGTGGGAAAGACTTCACAAGGGGGTGACATTTTAGCTGCTGAGTAGAAGTTTCACCTGGGGAGAAAAGGCCAAGAGAGAAAAGAAATAACACGAATAAAGGTAAGGAAACTAGGAAATGTCAGGACGTATTAGAGAATATATATATAGGGCTGAAGTGAGAGAAGGGACAATGAGAGCAGATTGTGACAGTCCCTAGATGTCATTCTTGAGAATTTAAACTTTGTTTTGTATGCCACACATATTTAACAGATATTTTTTAGCTAGAATGCAAACTCCAAACAGGGGTCTTTATTTGCTGTTATTTTATAAGTTTATATTTTTTGTTTTATTTTGTTTTTAACTAAAGTGTCCTCAAATTGGTGCCAGTCACATAAATTCTGAGGTGAGTTTAAAAACATGGAAGACCTGGGTTTAGTGATTAAACTGTAATGGGAGAATGAATTTGCATTCCCATGGTTTTCTCTAACTTTTGTTTTTCTGATTCTTTTAAAAGAACCCCTAACGTAAAAGAAGAAAACCCAATGTTAAGTAATTACTTAAAAGTAATAATGTTAACACTCTAAGGAATTCATAAGGGAATTGTGACAATGTTCACAAAAAATAAGGGAAAGCCAGGTTTCTTCATAAATAAAGAGTATCAAATATTAAATGATATTGTTTCCAAGTTGAACAATCTTTGAAAATCTGTGTGTGTGTGTGTATGGTATCATTTGCAGGAAAAGTGGATGATACATAATTTCTTTTTAAAAACTTACATTTTTCTGTGATTGCTGTTCTCACATCTGAACTGGAAGCTTTATTTTTCAAATTCTGCGCCAATGTAAAAACATAATCCAGCTGAGGATGGCGCTGTTCTAAGTCAGCCTTTGTAATCTGTTAAGTAGAAATGATTATTAAAGCCCATGAGGAAGCTATACAATAAGAATACTAACTAAGCAAAGCAGGTTTGCTGACATCAAAATTGTTATTGTGTCTGTTTCCTCCTCTATGGGATTGTGAGTAATCAGCAACATGACAGAGAAAGATTGCATGATCTGGAGTCAGAGGTCCTGAGTTCAAATCTCAGTTCCTCTTACCACCTGGGTCACCAGGCAAGGTGCTTTACCTTTCTGTATTTTAGTTTTCACCAAAAGAAATAATAAAATACTGACAGATCAGTTACATCAAATCTGAGGAAATTAAGAAAATCCCACTGAAAACTAAAAAGTGCTCTGAAAACATTAGCAGTTGTTGCTGCCACTGAAGCCTTGCCTATCCGTTCTGCATGAGATATGAACACAAACGAAAGTTATCCATAGGAATGAGGAAACATTAGAAGAGTGCTGTTTGGAGTAATTGCAAATCAAATCATCTTAGACATGAAAAACTGCTGCTCTAATTTGTGTCTCTCAGTACTGATACATATGGGAGAAGCGGTAACAATATCAGGAAAATAGTATGTTGTAATTATAGAACTAATAGTCATAAAGAATAAGAAGACAATTTACAACGAGTATAAATAGTGACAAAGGATTCTCTCCCAGCTCTTCCCCTTTATGAATTCACAAGTTTTGTAGATTTGTTATTCCTGCAGTCTCAAACATTATTTCTAAATGGATTGCTCAGAACTTCAGATCAGGAATCCCAGAGCTTCTACAGGGCACGAGGACTCCTCAATACAACACACCTAAACCTCAATCATTCAAATTCTCATTCACATTCTGTCTCTTCTATTCCTGTTTCCGCTAATTACTAAAGCATCATCTTGGCCACTTAGGAAGGGCCCTTTTCCTTGAATTTAAGCACCTCTTGCCTTCAATCCACCCTAGTTGTCTTACTAAAGCAGAGCATTGTTATCATGAGTTCCCAGCCACAATTTTAAAAAGAAAAAGAAATGGAGAGAAAGATGTTTGCCAACTGCTTACAGACTGAAAGCCCAAAGGGCTTCCGCAGCCTATGGGCTCCTTCACAAAGGGAACTTGAGCTGCCTTGCCTGCCTTGCTTCCCTCTGTATTTCTTTACTGCACAAATGTTGGCTCTAACGTCCCTCAAGCCTCCTCCCATTTCTTTATTCACTCTGTTCCCTATACCAGGAATGTCATCACTTTGTCCCCAGATGTCAAAGCCCCACACTATCTGCTTTCCGTCGCTAGGGAAGTAATCCCTTCCACATTCCGCTCCCCCTTGCTGCTTGTACCTGCCCTACGGCGTTTGCTAGCCTCTGCCTTGCCACAGCAACGTGTCTATTTATTATATATGCACTCCGTGCCTCTGCCCCAGCTTGGGCTTATTTGTCACGTGGGCATAAAAGCAGTACCCACACTTCACAAGATTGTTAAAGAAGCGTATGAGATAATGCATATAAAATACTTAAAAAAAATGTGCAGCACACATTAAGCCTTTCGTAAAAGTTAGCAATAGTTGTCGTTACTATTTTATCATACATTCCCAATTTATACCTGATATGTTCTTTTCAGTTATATAGCCCAGAATGCACCTAGGATGCACTAAATATGGAAAAAGAACTTTAGAAACTGTTCTCAGATGATATATGAATGGCAATGTGCATATTCATTATATTCGGTAATATTCATTGTAGTCAGGGGATTCTCGCTTCTAAAGTTAGAAATTAAACAATCTCCTTAAGAAATATAAGTTGAAAAGGTGCTTTAGGAAAACATCCTACATCACATGATAGGCATTAAATGTAAGGCGAGCTTACATTTTTATTAACGTGCCTGGCCGTGTGCTATTAATTTTAGATCTTAAAAATACAGTGAGGCTTTAGTTTACGTCTGTAAACCTGATCTTATCATAACAGTATAAATGCGAGAAAAGCTTTACTCTGTGTAGTTAGCCAGGGATGGATGACAGAAAAGAATTTTTATACCTCATTCTCTCACAGTTTAGGATAAACAAAGGGGATTCAACTTGATCTTGTCTACCTCTGGGTTGTGGCGTTTCCATGACAAGCCTTTGCACTATGCACCTACTTTCATTCGGGAAACGGTCTTATTGATCTCTTCTACATCCCCGACAGTGACAATGTTGGACTTCAGCATTTGGTCGATCAATACCAGCCAGTCGGCTAGTTCTGTTATAGTTTTATCAAGATCAGCAGGAACTGAAATTTCTGAAGTACGAGAAGACAGAGCAGGAATATCTGATGCAGATGATACTAGCACCACCTTTTGGACAGCAGGATGAGCTGAAATTAAAACAAAAAAACAAAAACAGCAAAATAGAAATAAATCAACAGGACATTTTGATTATGGTGGTACAATGGTGACGGGTGTTATATGTACTTAAGTAAAATTCAGTTTAAGAAAAAGAAACTCTAGGAAGTTTTCATTTATTCGTACTGAAATGGATGTGGAATTGCCTACATTATCTATAGGTCTTTGGTGGCTAAGCCAACTAAACAGAGTCTCACAACATTCTGGGACAGCAGTAACTTAAATGTAATCAACACTGAGAAAAATGAAAATTAAAAAATATGCCAACCATGAGAAAATTAGGAGTATTATTTCATTTTGTCAAGATGTTTTTGCCTTAATTATAAAGCCAATTTATTCATATTTCTTATTCTTTTTTGTTTAATTTTGTAACATGAGCATATTTCATTTTTAATAAACATCATTGTGACCACCTATGTAATAACCTACACATATATTCACAAACTTTTGTTTAACCCTTTTCCTTCAGCTAGGTATTTGCATTGCTCCTGAAATCTTATTTTTAAAAAGAACTTGCAAGAAATATCTTTTTATGTAGAGTATTTTGCACATTTCTGATCAACACCTTAGCACAGATTTCCCAAAGTGGAATTACTGAGTCAGGAAATATGAACAAATGTATGCATTTAATACTGGTTGTCAAATTGTTTCCCTTAAAAGTTGGAAATTTAAATTTCCAATGGCAGCATATGAAACTGATCAACATTCTGCACCCAAATCAACAATATTCTATCTCAATGGCTAAATACACGTCTTTCACCATTGTTTTCCTTTTATGCTTTTTTATTACTAGTCAGGGTAAATATTTTTCATGCCTGTTAAGCAAATATGGTATAATTTATAACTGTCTGTTTTTTTATCCGCCCCCTTATCAATCTAGATGAACTCTTTATATAGAAAGGATGAACCCTTTTCATATTGTTGAAAGTAATGCTTTTATCTGGGGATTCTTTAAATGTGTCATTTTTTTCTTTTAACATATAGATGTCAACAAACTTGAGGTAATCAAATCCATAAATCTTTCTTGGGCTATTGTTTTCCTAAGAATTTTAAAATTATAAATTCTAATGTTCTCCAAAGATTTGATAAATGTATTCTTTCCCTCTGGTTTTGTTTGTTTTGTATTGCTTTTTGTTTTCTGTTTTTCAATGAGGGGAGATTAACTGTTTTTCTTTGGTAAAATATAATAGGTCATTGAATTAATGATTAAATCCATCTGGAACCTACTTTAGCATAGGATATATTAAATGAGGCTTAAATAATTTTCTGAAAGATATAGCCAACCTTTAAATTCAGTTCAATTCCAATCAAAATCCCAATAGTTTGAGTGGGTTTCAGCAAAATCATTGATTCACATTTCTGGTGGTTGTAAAATTAATGTAGAAGAGAAAAGGACAAAAAACAGTCAAAACCTTATTTTATTTTCAGTAGAGGGATATGCCCTCCCAAATATTTAGTTATATTATTTAGCTATTTTAATAATACTGATTAACTCAGTACCTTATAGACTGAGACATTGACACAGACCAACGGAAGAGAAGAGGCACAGAATGGAGGTGGCAGAGAAGCCTGACCTTGGCAGAGACTGAATTATAGATCAATGAGGAAGAATTTACTGTTCAATAAATGATGCTGGCAAAGGGGTGACCCATGGCTAGGGAAATGATGGGGTAGATTTTAACCTCACATGCACCATAGGTAAATTAATTCTTGGTAGGTTAAGGACCTAAATATGGAAACCAAAATTGTTATTAAAAATACAGAATATTTTTATGACATCAGAGCACTGAAGGAGCTCTAAAACAAAACACAAAAAAAGAAGCTATTAATAAACCATGAGGTTTTAAGAATTCTGAAGAAAGCGCCATAAGTAAAGATTTTAAAAGCCTTTGAAATATTAAGGGAGACAGCATTTGCAATGCACAGTCCAGACAAAGAATTAGTAATCAAAATACTTTCATACAACTCAAATCAGACAAACCAAAGAAGAGGAAAGAAGAAAGGCAATAAACACAAAAATATGGAAAAAATGTTTGACTTCACTGATAATTGAGAAAATACAAATTAAAATGAAATACCCTGTATCAGCAGGTCACAAGTCAGCAAAGTGACATCTGGGATGCTCTGGGTTCCTGCGGACCCTTCCATGGGGTCTGAATGCCTAAACTATTATCATCATCATAAGAAGTTATTTGCCTTTTCAGCCTCATTCCCTCCCAAGTGTACAGTGGTGGTTAACCCAAGGCCACATAACAATTGATGTCACAAGAGACCAACTGCTGACGCAGATATGAGAATCCAGCCAGGTGTGGTCTATTAAGCCAGACATTTAAGAGACCTTGAAAAATGCAAAGCAATGTCACTTTTCTAAGTTTTTGTTTGTTTTGGAAAACAGAGATTCTTATGTTTATATGTTATAAAAATATATTAATTTTGTTAACATATAAATGGATTTATTATTGTTATTTTTAAACAAGTTAATAAGCAAATTATTTTGAAATTTCATTTTAGTTAGGTAAATATAAATACGATATATCATATAACAAAAGCTCTTCGGGGTCAATAATTTTTAAAAGTGTAAAGGGTCCTGAGGACAAAAATGTTGGGTACCGGTAACAATGTAGAGCTAGGAGAATCCACATACACAGCCAGTGGGAGTGTGAACTGGAACAAGCAGTCTAGACAGCACAGCAGCTGCTAGTGAAGTAGAAGGCACCCGTATGCTACCACCTAGTGATTCCACCACTAGATATTACCCTACAGAATACTTCGCACATCATTCTGCCCAATCTTCACTGTAGCTTTCTTTGTAGTTTTTAAAAATTCATGTTTCAATTTCCCAAATACCTGTTAAGAACCTAAATGGCTAGGCACTGTTCTAGATGCTTCAGGGTGGAGCGTGCAAGAAAGTGGCTGCCCTCATGGAGCTTGCATCCTGGTGGGGGAGATGGATATATGTTACGAAGTCAACCAATGCAGAGGCAAAGAGAGACCAAGGATGTATGTTGATTGTATGTATCTTGGCATGTTTGAACCAGCCAGAACCAGTGTATTTGAAGCAAAACAAAGAGACAAGTAAGAAGAAATGTGATAGAAGACAGGAAGCAGATAGATCATGCCTGGTCTTCTGGATCATGGTAAGTCTTTGGAACTCACTTACATAGAGGGAAGTGATTAAAAGATGTAAGCAAAATTGACACAATCAAACTTATGTTTATAAAGCATCACTCTAGCTGCTTTCAGAAGAACAGATTATGGAGTGCAGTAAGGCAAGAATAGAATCAGGATGATGAGTTAGGAGAATATTCCAATAATATAGATGAAAGACAAGAGTGTTCAAGACCAGAGAAGTGGTTGGATGGGGCACAGGACTGACACAACCTGCTGATGGATTGACTATGAAATAACAGAAGAATAAATCCAAGCTTATTGGCCTAATACTGCTGAATCATCTAAAGCTGAAAACATGCTTACAGTCATAGGACTGGGAAGCATAGCTAGAGAAGAGAAGGCTCAGGATGATGGTATATATCCACGCAATGGAAGACTGTACGTCAGTTTAAATGAATAAACTAGAGCTACATGCATCAAAATGTATGGCAATGGGAATAACCCAGTAGAGTAGGAGAGAAAAGGGATAAGTAAAAAGCCAAGAGAAGATGTGATCCATAGCACAACCAGAAACGTTGGTCTTAAAAAGGAAAAAGGATAACTCTTCCTCTGCAGAGGAAGGAAGTATGCAGAGTATGTGGTATACAAATGCAGGCAGTTTGATGGATTCTCTAGTGGGAAAATAAAGATTTTATCTAACAAAAGGGGTTTTTTCTTTTAAAAATGAGATGAGGTCATTAGCTGAGAGATGGGTGGCAACAAGTCCTCAGAGCCAGTACTACAGGATTATCTGTTAGAACTGAGTGCGTATTCAAGATGGCATAGTCATAGCTTTGCAATGAGTATAATCAGCAAGAAGTGGCATGGATGAACCTCAAAAACATTATGCTAAGTGAAAGAAGCATTGTATGATTCCATTTATGTGAATATCCAGAATAGATAAACCCATAGTGACAAAGCACAGATTGGTGGTTGCCAGGGGCTGGAGGAGGAGGGAATGGGAGAAACTGCTTAATGAGTAAGAGGTTTTACTTTAGAGAGATAGACATATTTTTGGAACTAGAAAGAAGCAATGGTTGCAAAACATTGTGAATGTACTAAATGCACTAAATTGTTCACTTTTAAAATGGCTTTTATTTTTAAATATAATTTTAAAAAGAAGAAGGAACTGAATTAAAACATTGTGTAGAAGAGGATGACACACTGAGATTAGCTTCAGTGTCTCAGCTCTGCCCCAGGGAGGAAGATCTTGTTAAGAACGCACTGCCAATAATGGAAGGTGTAGTTCTGCTCTCAGCTTTTCATGCTTCTAAATATGCATTCAATTTTCCCTGCTCCTTTGCCATAATGATCGCTTTAAAAGATAACCCACTAGTATTTTATAAAACGCATCAAATCCTTTCCTATGGATTATGGAGTACAGCTTGTTTGCAAGGTAGCAGTGCTCAAATGTCAATTCAGTGTTTTGCATATTAATCAGAAACCTGATCAGGCCTAAGTATTTCTTGCATAGTTATGGAAATAAAAGTCATATAAAACACAAACTTGGCCTTCAATAATCTTGCAATCTCCAGAAAACGGAAAAAAAGAATCTTGTTCTCTCATTACTTTTTCCAACTCCTGAAGAAAAGGAGAAGGAAAAGAAGAAAAAGAAGAGGAAGAAAACAAGTAAAGACCAAAGAGAAGAGGTGGAAGGGTAGAGGAAGAGGAGGGAGAGGAAGGTAGGAAGAGAGTAAGAGGGAGGAGGAAGGAGCAGGAAAGAACCAGCAGCCGAGTGATTGGGTATTAGGGTTCATCATATTTGGAGGTGTATGGGTGACAGCAGAGGAAGATCAGGGCAAGAAGGTTCAGATGCCGCCAA